TATTCGATGTTATTAAGACAATAGCAAAAATATAAACGTATTTTAATGTTAAACGATCACTAGTTTTTTTAAAGAAACAAACAGAAAAAAAAAATAGTTACCGTTACTGGACAGAATTGCATAACAAAGAAAAACCAACTGAACAAAAATTCGCTACTAAAACCAACGAACAAAAATCTGTTACTGTTACTAAACAGAATCAATATCATAACAGGTCATGATAAGACACCACTGCAGAAATTGGTTGCTTTTGCATATAGCTTTATCATTATTGTACGTATGTATGTACGTAGAAATTTTTATACAATAAAAACAAAAATTAGCTACCATTACTGGACAGAACTGTATAATAAAAAAAAAAAAGATCAAAAATTGGCTACGTAATATTATTAGATAGAGAGCTATAAAATCAACAAAATAAAGCTATTGTAAAATGACATATATAATGAACAGTGACTATTTACTATACCCACTACCACGCATAGTTTAAAGTATCTTATACATTAAAGATTATGGATTAAATCGTCTTAACAATCGATATATAATTTGCAAACCAAGAATGATACATGTTGGATAATCTGCATTTAATATACCTCATTTTAACCTTGCAATAGAATTTTGTATGTATGTATGCATATTTGTGTAAATTAACTAACAGTTGTAAAGGTATAATTTGATTAAATTATTGGGATTCGAATATTAATTTGGCCAATTTTTTGGTATTCAAATATCTGTTAAAATTCAAAAAAATAGCAGACATTTGTTGATATTTGAAGACTAACTAATTATCTAATACGCGGTTTATTATTGCATCTGAAATAGAGATGTAAAATTACAATACATTTGCATAATTTCATTTTCACTTCACAATAAAGTAGATTTGGGAGAATATAGCTGGAATTCAACATTGTAAAGTGTTTGTCTCTATTAATCCCCTGATAAGTAAAATCCATAGTAACGATAAGAATAATTGACAAAATCTTATGATTCTGTGTTAACGTAGTCTTGAGCCCTAATTGATCCTACTTACTCGGACCAAGTCTTTCAACGCCTCGATCGTAGCCTTATTACTTTTAGAGTATGATGAAAATTGACTTGCTTTGACAGTCTAAAAACTGCAAAATAAAATCGTCAATAATTTTTCATTTAAACTTAAATCAAGTTTAAAATCAACTGTTAATACGCTATCTTTATACTCACATTTAAAAAAGGTATTCAGTAAAGTAGTATTGTACGGCAGTACACATTCGGACAAACATACAAAAATTATACAAAATTTTGATAGTAAGTACAGTTAATATAAACTTGCAAAATTAAGTAACCATTTTAATGGGGTGATTGCTAGTATTGTCCTCTTTCATGTTGGATTAGTAGTAAAAATAGCATGGGTTTGGAGAAATTTTTTTCTTTTACAAACCGTATGTGCTATCTTGATTTTCTACACATCTGTTCTAATTTGCGTTTTCATACCATACTACCGTACTATATACCCTTTTTTGAAACCATCAGAATCAATCTCTAAAATCTGTAATTTACAATAGCCAAAATCATTAATATGTTCATTGCCATATATAAATGCGAAAAATACTATAGAGCGCTGTATTAGGTACCCCTAAAATAGTATCCTGGGCAGTGTTAAAATGATTTGCAGAATCGAATCTGTTACACTTTTTTTGTTTGAATTTTTATTATACTTACAAACACTGATTTCGGGTATATTTCAATAACATCGCACAAAAATTCTAATTTTATACCCCACTATTCAACAAAGTATTATTAAATTCATTAATACTACAGATTTTCGTCACCATTATCTATAGCTTTTTCCCAACCTACTTCCTGGTCCATTACCTTTACCAATCATTGGAAACTATCATAATCTTGGCAGTGATGTAAGATCATTCTATAAACAATGCCAGGTGATATTAGTGAAGCAATGAATATATTGATAAAATTCTTGATCGTAAAGCATTTCACCTGAAGAGTCTATATTCGCCAGGTATGGATGAAATGGGAACGTACAGACATAGAATCATTTTCAATAATGATTATGAAAGTTGGGGGGTCTAATAATAAGTTCTTTACGGACACATTGTAACACTATAAAGTCTACAATTAAACTGTTTGAAGAATTGAAAAGTTATTGACACAAATCATAGTATGCTGGAACTGCAATAATGGCATTTGTAACCTTTGTACCAAAGAATACTTCAGCGGTTTCCTTCTTTTCTTCATCTTGAGTAAGGCCATATATGATATTTCTTTAGGTGTAAATTGTTTAATTTATCCTATATATTCGACTTGAATATATGGCTTACTGTTCTTTTCGATAATTTTAAATGACCAATGCTAATTAAGAATAGGAACATAAAAAAAGGTACTTTAATACATATAATTCACAGACAAATGCGCTTAAACAAAGCAAAATCAACTGATTAATAATATGAGTTACCTATACTAAAAGATCATTGGTAGGAGGTCTTGCGAAGAAAGCTAATAATAGTCCACAGGAGAATAATAAATAATTGGCGAATGCAACCTGCGAGACGTTAAAAGTTAAGGTTCTGCATAAAGTCAAAGCATGTACGCTATCCAAAAACATTAAAGAGATCCAGAATTAAGCACTTAGCATACCTTTATTAAAATCTACAATCAATGAGTTGTTAAAGATTAATTCAAACATGCCGTAAAGCTCAAGGTCATACAATAAGTCCATACCTTTTTAAATTCTGGAAAGCGAATAAAAATATCTTCTAAGCGAAGCTTTCTGGGAGTTGGAATTTACTTTGCTTCTCTTCTAAGCGAAGCTTTCTGAGAGTTGGAATTTACTTTGCTTCCTCTGCATAGCGAACATTAACACTTCGTTGAACGCTAATACTTCGTTGAAGTTAAAATGTGTACTGTAAAGCATATAAATTAGTTACCCGGTCAATTTATCTGCAGGTGAAAATTTTCCGTATATAATCCGCATGACTATTATTTGGTGAACAATTATGTAAATCAGGAATCGATCTTTAATTGTGTGTTCATATGTGTTCTTATGTGTTCATATGTGTTCATGTGTTCACCTAAAAAAAAAAATTATTTGCTATTTTCAACCATTTCGAAAACAGCGATAATATCAGTAACCTTGATTATACTAGCTTGTATTAATAGGTTGTAGAATAATAGTGTAATATATAAATTACACAAATCTGAATAAAGTAGCCAAATTAATTTAAAGAATCAGAGGATATGAAAGCCTGCTTGGAAAGTCCTGAATAAAAAGGTAGCACAGATCTTTAATAATACTATATAAAGGATTATCATCTGAAGAACTGAATACTGAAAGCAAACTGAATAAGGACCGAATGTTTGGCAAGCACTATATCAACCAGGCTGCCAGATAATCAAAGGAAAAAGGATTCATTCAAAATACTAGAGATGTCTACTAGTCTTTCTCAAGCTATTTGAATTGAAAGTTTAGAATACCAATAGTTGGTATCAAAATACTATTGATAGTTCATAAAGTAGGTGCTAAGATTTAAATGAACTTGGCAAAAGCAAGTAATAAGTAATGATAGTAGAAATAAAATGCTACAAGTATTTGGCTGCGATCAAGGCATAAGTTACTGAAAATCTAGGTAATACATTGTAACATAATTAGAAGATCAGCCATAGTAATTGAAACGCATTACAATGATCACATATGACAATCATATTATACCAATGGCCCCTTTTGTACAAGAGCTATTTTTATTTAGTTTATTTTATTATACTATTTATTTATTTATTTACAGTATATATTTATTTATTTATTCATACAATTAACTATATGCAAGGTGTTATATATAGTGTCATTATATATATAATCATTATGCATAACATCATTAGAGTAATAACTAATTAAATAGGGTTATAACTAGGGAGAATTATAATAGTTTTAGGATAAATAGTCTAGAGAATAGATAGTTAGTCAATTAGCTTTCTTAAAAATATAAAAACGTCTTGTAAAAACTTGTAAAAGGTATTATTCACTACCTCAAGTCTTATATTATATAAATAAAAAGCCTCTTTGTTTTAAATTTCTCCTAACAAAGACCTAAACCCACCCTATAATCGAATATTTTGGTTACAACATGTATAAGACATGAACTGCTTTAGTAAATTTATTATAAAGATAAAAAACCTCCTATATAGTAGTATATGTCCACTTTAAAGTCTTAAGGAGCTTTCATAGCAATTCCTTTTTGGAGAAAATATCTGTCAATAGTGCTAAGTTGATTAGAGAGTTTAATTAAATAACTAAAATAATAATGAATTATAGATACAGCATCTAGTATAGAACCTAGTAATAGGCAGACTACTTAAATTAGATGCTTAAAAGGTGCAGATATATCTAGAATGTATCCTCATTAATCTAACAAAGTCAGGCAATCTATATGGCTATCCTGGTATTTAAACCAAAGTTAATAAAATGTGCCAGACTCTTAAGTGATTACCTTAATATTAAAAAAAAATACAATGTTTATTAAATTTTCTTAAATTTTTTTTTTAGTAATCTCTAATCTATCTATATCTTATTTAGAATTCTGAATATTGTATATCTCTAATATATTACTCTAATTTATAACTTTTATTTAAATTTATCTTAAATCTTAGAATATTAATTTCAAAGCTTAAGGGTTTGGGCCCCGTAGCTTATTGGTTAAGCTCTCAAACCCCCACAGACAAGGTCAATGGTCAAGTTGGACTGGTGGCAAATTTTCGAATTTGCTACTATAACCTATATGGGGCCATAATTGAATGCGAAGCCCTGTGGAAAGTCCAAGTGCAA